ATGTGTGTATATATATACATATATATATATATATATATATATATATATATATGTATATATAAATAATCTAAAATGTCATTACTTCATGATCATCACAAGTTCAATAACATACATTGTTTTTTAAAACAAAGTAAACTGTGGGGCAGCTGTGGCTGAGTGGCTAGAGCAGTCGTCCTCCAATGCGAGGGTTGGAGGTTCGAATCCACCAGCAGTCACATGTCGAAGTGTCCCAAGGGAAGACACTGAACCACTCATAGCCTCCGATGTGTGTCCCATCAGTGTATGAATGTGATCTAAAGCTCTGATTAGTCTCTTTAGAATGATTTGTTCAATTAGCTTTGTAGAGATCTAGTATAGAGCTGTCTGAATGAGTAAATGAGGACACAGATTGTAGTGTAAAGCGCTTTGAGTATCTTGAAATAAGATAGAAAGGTTCTATTTAAGTACAGTCCATTTACCATTTAAACCAAAAATATGTTTTATCTGCTCTTCATGTGCATTTTTATTTATCTATGTATACAGAGTGTGAGCCTTACGATTCACTGCACCATTTAAAAGTATTTGTACTGTGAAAAACACTGACTGGGTATTATGAAACTACACAAAAAGCTTCTTTAGAACCCTGATACTTAGATCAGAAAATGTTAAGCACGGCACCAATGAATATGTAATACAGTAAATTAGTTTACATATTTGCAATTATGTGAAATCAGTTGTGGACAAGAGACAACATTCATCCACAGTTTCATTTTCCTATTTAATGTACATGTTTTTTAAAAGACTCTTGATAAATTAATAACTTTTTCCTCTAAGATAATTTCTACCTTGTGTAAATTCAGTAAATCATCAAAAATCACAGAATCAGTCATTAAATCTTGACTTGAGATCATCTCGTTCTAGTTGATATGTGATCAAGTAGATCATCATCTAGTTGGTCATGGAGTTCCTCAGGGTTCAGTGCTTAGACCAAAAGTAAAATGCATTGACTCTTTACCTTATATATGCTTCACTGATTCCATGAGATAAAGTTATTAAGCAGCATGAGATACATTTTCATTGTTATGCTGATGATACTCAGTTATATTTGTCCATAAAAATCAATGTATCCAATCAGTTACTGAAGTTACAAGCATGTCTTAAAGACATAAAAACCTGGATGACCCTTAATTTTCTGCTTTTGAACACAGACAAGACTGAGGTTTTACTTTTTGGACCTGAGCATCTTAGGAATTATTTTTTTAGTCTTTCAGTTTCTCTAGATGGCATTAATCTGGTCTCCAGTTCTAAAGTTAAAAATCTTGGTGTTATTTTTGATCAGGACATGTCTTTTAACCCCCACATTAAAATGTTACCAGAATCTCTTTCCTCCACCTACGTAATATCACTAAGATTAGAAACATCTTGTCCAAAGATGATGCAGAAAAACTGGTCCATGCGTTTATCATGTCTAGACTGGACTGTTGCAATGGTTTATTATCTGGATGTCCAGATACTTCTTTTAAATGTCTTCAGTCCAAAATGCTGCTGCCAGAGTCTTAACTGGAGTTGGTGGGAGAGATCATATCTCTCCAGTTTTAGCTTCTCTCCATTGGCTCCCTGTCAAATTAAGAGTTGAATTCAGAATCTTACTTCTACAAAGCTCACTTAGAGCTATATAAAAAAACTGAATTGTATTGGATCTTAATAATTCGTATACAAAATGCCACTTGAGGAGCAGATGCAGCCACTATGCTAGTTGTTAAAAATAAATACAATTTTAAATTCAATGCCTCAAAATAGATGCTGGTTTAAGAACATTTCATTTTAACAAAGAGACATATTAAAGCCAACTATTTTTGATCACAAGAGTATTTAACAGACTTAAAGAGGCTTGCTGTGGTTAGAGAGGACACAAAGGACTTTTCAAGAAAGCACTGCATCTAAGATATTACTCAAACTCCTGGTTTCACCTTAATTTTCAGACAAAACATGTTTACATCTTAAAGTAAGGTAAATACCGTTTTCCAAGTGAACAGATCAGATTACGTCATCAACGTTTGTTCCCATGTTTTCAATAAAATTTCAAGTGTGTCCCTTTATTGACTTCATATTGACATATCTCAATATAACCAAATGGGAAAATATTTCACATATTATTGGTCCAGGTCTTTTGATGAAAAATTTCCAAAATATGGGATTAATTCAAAAGTCAGTTGTTCATTTTAAATTGAATATTCAAAATCAAGTAACATGACATTATGCCTAAGCAAGAGGCTGTAAAATTTGAATTGTTATTGACTATTGTACTGTATTTCACTTGTGGGGCTTTCTTCAGTGCTGTTTTGCTTTCTCAGGAAGAAAATCAGAACCTGCTTGACATTTGCCTGCCCTGTTTTAGTAATGAAGCAGTAGAGCAGTGGGTCTACAAGACAGCTGACACAAGAGATAGCTGTGCTGATCTTGTAGGTACAGAGGAACCATTTAAAACTCTCGCAGTCATGTAACTGTGTGCGGACAAGCATCATGATATGGACTGGACCAAAGCAAAACAAAAGGCATAGAAAAACTAGTGCCAGTAGCTTTAAAATGCGTAAACGCTCCTCTTCCTTTGTGGCCTGGTTGGATTTCACAGCTAAATAAGTTCGACAGGTGAAAAAAAATACAAGCACAACTGGAATAATAAAGCCCACGAAAAAACGTGCTATGTTAGCGTGGAGCATGTTTTCTGACAGTGGCATAAAAATGTCATAGCACATTGGGTTCATGTTACTTTGATGGTAAGAGTCCTCCCAGGTTATTGTGCAGGCGTTGAAACCGACAACCAACACCCAAATGGCCAAAGTGACTGCTGCTGCGGTGTGGACTTTCCTCATGAATGTGTACTTTAATGGGTGAACCACAGCCAGATAACGGTTAACGGCAATGCAGCACAAAAGAGCCTCGCTGGTGTAAAAGTTGGTGAAAAGAGTGTAAATTGACAACAGACAAATATAACCTCCATGAGCCCAAACTCCTCTCCACAGGAAGTCCAGCCACAGGGAAAGACTAATGGTGAAGGTCAGGTCACTTAAAGCGAGGTTGAAGAGATACACTCCGAGGTCATTCTTCTGTCTGATGTGCTGCCAGGACACATAAAGGGAGAAGGCGTTGGCGGGGATGGCAATGATGACAACGGCCAGGTAGTAGACCAGAAACACTTTTCTCCTGTTTTCACTGTCGACTATGTAACACTCCGAATGATTGGGGGTCAGGGTCAAGTTTTCCATTGTTGATGTGTTTTTACACCAACGCTTTGAAGAGAAAATCAGGAAGCCATTAAAGAAGGAATACAACATGTACTTAAAGTCCAGCATAAAATGAACAAGTTACACATTGCTACCAATTTTAATAAAAAAAAAATATTTTCACAGTTTTTCTTTCAAAAACAAGTACCTTCTGAATGAATCACAAACCAGAATGAAAAGACACCAACAACGTATCAACCTGTGCTGTGTTTACTCCAGCAATTTGGCAAAGTTATGTTATGACTGGTAACCCGTTCCAGTGCTGCAATTTTTGTACCTGAATAACTGACAGGCATGACATTTTAGTTTTGCACCAGCAAGGTGATTCTTAAATACATATTAGTGCAAAGATAATGAATAAATGCCCATTTTTTGTTGTTGATTGCGGATTATCTAGGTCTTGTGTCTTGTTATGGCTATTTTTTCATATTACTGTGTTTTCCAGCCTATAAGTCACATCTGTCCAAAAAATGTCTAATAATTTGGAAAAATCCATGAATGAGTTGCTTCGCCGTATACGTCGCATCCATTATGCGTCACCGCTGACAACCTGGAAATGTGGACCGATGTGGTGCCAAAAATCGATTGGCTGCCAAATGGCAGCTGCGGGAGCGTGCACGGGAGGATGTTAACAAGAGTTTAACAAGATTAACACTTAAAAACAATTATTTATTTGCTCAAAATTATAGCAAAGGTGTGTCTCGGCTTAACTTTTGCTTAATAAATGCACTTTGATGGTCAAAGCTGCGTTTCTAAAGCCAGGCAAGCAGGCAGGCGCAGAGGGACGACTCGCTGTGTATTTTTTTCTAAATTCAACAAGATAACCACCTAAAAACAATTATTTGTTTGCTCTACTTTCTAGTAAATGTGTGTCTCAGTTTAACTTTTGCTTAATAAATGCACTTTAATGGTAAAATCAGCTGCATTTCGCCGGGGCAGCGCAGCAAAATGAAGCTGATTTAACGGTTGCTCCAGGCGAGCTGGATGAAGGTGGCAGGCTATGGCAAGCCAATTTTGTCGTTAATAGCCACTTTTACCTATTACATGACACAACGGCATGCCATACTACTTGATTGCCATCTAGTGGCTGAAAATGGTAGTGTTCAATATTTTCTATGTCAGAATGAATGAAAACGGTCATATCTCACTCAAAAATTGGTTTATAAATATGGGAAACAATTCATCAATACATCGCTTTGTTGTATTAGTCACAGGGTATACAAATTATGCAAAAAGGTGTGACTTATAGGCCGGAAAATACGGTAGTAGTTTTTTCTTTTCAGCTGCTCCCTGGCCACAGTGTATCATCTTTCTCTATCTCACCTCATCCCAAACATCTCACTCTGTTACAGCCGTCTTAAACCTTTTCCGATTCACTGAATCCATAAAGCTTTTCTTTGGTCTTCCTCTTTTCCTTCTCTCCATGCAACATATTTTGTCCAACATATCTACTATTTTTCTTCTGCATGTCCAAAGCATCAGTCTTGCTTCTTTAACTTCCTCTTCAGGTTGGTCAACCTGACCTGTTCCTCTGATGTTTGCATTTCCTGATAATTTTGGTTGTGTAGCTCGGTGGCGCAACTGGTAGAGCCGTTGCCACTCAGCAAGCAGGTCCTTGGTTCAAAACCCGGTCCAGGGGCCTTTCAGGGTGGAGTTTGCATGTTCTCTCCGTGCATGCGTGGGTTTTCTCCAGGTGCTCCGGTTTCCTCCCACAGACAAAAACATGCATGTTAGTCTGATTGGTAACTAAATTGTCCCTAGGTGAGTGAGAGAGTGAATGGTTGTTTGTCTCGTTTGTCTCTATGTGGCCCTGTGATGGACTTGCGACCCTTCCAGGGTGTACCCCGCTCCTCGCACAGTGATTGCTGGACATGGGCACCGGCGACTCCCGTGACCCAAAATAGAACAAGCGGGTAAAGATAATGGATGGATGGATGGATGGATAATTTTGGTCAATCCAAATGAAAAGCCTAATACCTTTGTTCTACCACTTGCACCTTTGCTTCCACTCTTTCTGTTACTACCACTATCTACAACCCATGCACCGTAGTAAGTTGCACTAACAACATGCAAACCATTTTTTTATTCTTCTGTCACAAATCATCACTGACACATCTACATCAGCTCCACTCACTTCTTCACCTTTATTGAGAACTGCCTGCTGCATTGAACGGTCATCCACAGGTTCTGAAACTCATCTACCTTCAAAACATCTACTCCCTGTAGCTTCATTGTTCCACATGGATAACTTCTACTGACTTTCATTCCTTTTCTCTTCAAAACATACTTTCACGTCTCCAGGTTATCTTCCATCTGATCTAAGACCAGGTCACAGTGTCATAAACATTATAGTCCTTGTAGGGACTCCTGCCGTGCTTCATCTGACGACCTGCTCACTGTCAATTTAAACAAGTTTTAACCCCTTTTAGAGATTCTTTGTCCATTTATGTTAGTTTTTAGAAACAACAGTTATTTCCTTTATCTATTTATCAGATGTCTATGGCAAGATTTACTGCATTTTTGGCCTAAACGACTACATAAAAAAACAACAATAACAATAAATCAGCCAATGTCCAAAGAAATTCTTTGAAGGATTAAAAAATATATATTATAAATTGCATTGGATTGTTGCTTTAAAGTAAACTGCCTAGAAACATTAAATAGCTTCTGAACGCTAGGACCCAAATTATTTGAGAAAAACAAACAAACAAAACTCTAAAGTTTAGCATTTTCATTTAAACAGTTGAAGCATGCAAATAACTCAGAGGAAAAAAACAAAGTTTAAATTCAAAGAAGTTAACTTACTCCTATTTCGGCCCAAACTCAACTCTGTCCTTAAAATCGGTTTTAAATAAAATAAAACCATTAAATAGTGTTCAAAGCTGTGCTGACTTCCACTCATTTATCAGCTGCTTCAATAGGAAGTGATGACAGCTGCTCATTTTATGTTCCCAACCACTGTGTCACCAGGTGACAGGCTGTGCAGAATTTATATGGTCACCATAGAAAATACTGCGACTTAATGTTTGCTGTGTAAACACAGAAGTGCACTCAGGTGAAGATGATCCTATGATTGTCTGATGAAAGTATGTTTGAGTGTTACCATAGCACATTTATGTTGATAATGTGGGTGGATTTGACTGTGTTTGTATTATTTTTTTTGAACATGTCATAAACTAACATTTGACTGTCATAAATGTTTGCTGCATGCAGATTTCAAAGAATAGATGATAATGTGTTTATTTGGTTCCCATGAATCCCAAAACGATCTTGGATTTAATTTTTTCGTTTGTTACTTTAGATGTTGATGAAAAAATACACAGCTCTTGAAAAATATTAAAAATGTATTTACAAGCACTTTTTTTTTTCATGAAAACATATAAAACTATTACTTTCCAGCAAACACATACATATAAACTTGTATTTCATAAAAATAAAAAAGTGAAGATTTGTTTTTACTTTCATGACTCATCAGATCAAATCAGTTTTTATTATAAATTTTACAACACATTTACAGTAGTTCTAATGAAATGTACATGTAAAAACACACCAGTTAAATTATTTTTATAGCGTCATGCAATACAATGCAAATCAACTTTATTTCTAAAGCACTTTAAAAACAACACTGTTGGTCAAAGTGCTGTGCACTAACACATAAAAGCAGCAGAAAAAAACCCCACGTCAGACAGATACTGTGGGGCGAGACCATGGAGCCATTTAAAAACAAATTAAAGAACCTTAAAATTAATCCAGAAACAAACTGGGAGCCATTGTAGTGATTCTAAAACAGGGGTGATGTGCGCTGTTTCTGGTACCAGTTAAAAGGTGAGCAGCAGAATTCTGAACCAGCTGAAATCGAGTCAGTAATGACTGGCTCAGACCAACATAAAGTGCAGTTATCTTAACAAGTTGTAATAAAAGCATGGAATAAAATCTCAAAATGATCTTGTGAGAAAAATAATTTGACCATGGCCAGTTGTCTCCGGTGATTAAAGCTGGACTTGATCACTGATTTAATCTGTGCATCTTGTTTAAAATCATTATCCAGCCTTACACCAAGGTTAGTTGCTGTCTTGGTTAGATGTATAAATGACTCAGATCAGCATAGACTTTGGAACCATCACTGGGCTTAAGCAGCAAGACCTCGGTCTTTTGCTCATTGAAATGTAAAACATTCTGTGACATCCATGATCTGACATGTCATACAAAGTACATTCCAGGAGTTATTTCATGGCGTACTGTTTTTCTTGTTTAATGGAACATAAATTTGGTGGTTATCAGCATAAAAATGAAATGTAACACCATATTTCCAGAGAATATATCCCAGAAGGAGTAAATAAAGAGAAAACAGAAGGGGACAAGTATAGATCCTTGAGGTACTCCACATCTGGTAGGTGCTACAGAGGACTCAGCATCTCAGATTTTCAATTGATGGTTAATAAAAGAAACCATGAGTCCAGACACTGCTTTAATTCCTGAAGATTCTTTTGACAATTTCCTCATGATGAAACTGTTCCTCCCATTTTCCATATCTTTCCTTATCTCTTTCTTGGCACTCTCATTGATTAAACAATAAATGATGGGATCCAGTGTGCAGTTCAGATTTGTGGTGGCAAATGTGACAAGATATGGATCTCTGAGCCTGATGGCCCAGCTGCAGGTCCCTGGCGCCATCACAGCCCTGAGGAACATAACAGTCTGGTAGGGCACAAAGGACACGATGTAAGCTAAAACGAGGAACAACAACAAAAGTCCTACTTTCCTGCACTCCTCTGCCAAAATGGAGGTGCTCTGCTTGAGAGACTACATGATTTGCTGATAGCAGAAAGTCATAATGATGACAGGCAAGAGGAAACTCAAGACAACTCAAATAATGGCCACATTGGCATCCTTGTGTGGCATGGGTATCTGCTGATAACACAGGTATGAGAAAGATTCCAGTGCCCCCATGTGGTGGAGTAACAGAATGTGGACAAATATCT